GCCGGCGCCCCCTCCGCCGCCGCCCTCCGCGCCGCCGCCGCCGCCGCCGCCCCGGGCCGCGCGCCGCTCCAGCTTGGGCAGCAGGTCGATCGCGATGTGCATCGTGCAGGCGATGAGGAGGACCATCAGGATGAGGACGCGGAACCTGCGCACCAGCATCATCTTCATGGCGCTTCCCGCCGGTCCGGCGCCGGCCAGGCAAAGGGCCGCGAGCGAGATCAGCGCGGCGCAAGAGACCGGGGGGCTTCGGGGGCTTCGGGGGCGGGGCGGCGCGGTGCGGCGCGCGGGGCGGTCAGGGCGACGGATGCGGCCGGAGTGGCTCTGCCCAGCCGCTTCCGCGGGCTTGGTAGCCGAGAAGGGTCTGGCTCCCAGGACAGGCACGCCCGCCGCCCAGACTGAAATAAAACGAAGCCGTCCACACGCGCGTTGGCTAGTGCTGCAATCCAGCCGGCGATCCAGCCCGGGAGCTCGTGGCGAGAGGGTCTAGTCGCTCTGGAGAGAGAAGTCCCCGCTTCATGAAAAATAGAGAGGGGGGCGGCGGAAACACGGAGAGGTGGGGCAAGAAAAATCCAAACAATTAAAAAAAATCACCCAGCACCAACGACGGCCGGCCGCGGCAAGCCGGGAGCGAGTCCTTAAAACCGATAAGCCCCGGGCTCGCGATTGATCGTCGGGTCCTGGAGCGCTCCACTATCGGCGGCTATTATTATTCGTAAGTGCGGAGGGGACGTCGAAGCAGCTGCAAGCGCCTGCGTTCCCCCCGAGAGAGCGCGAGAGAGGTTTGGACGTGACCTCCGGCAACGCATACCACTGGCGCTCTCCGATGACAATACTAATATTAGTAATAATAGGACCGAGCGGCGATCGAGCCCGTCGCGCTCCGGGAGCGGGGCAGGTTTCAAAGGAGCGCGGAGGATCCCCAGGAAAAACGGCCGGCGTCACCATGCGGGGCGAAGCGGCCCCAGCCGGAGAGCCGCGGCCCGCCGGGAAGGCATCCTCCGCCTCTCCGCCCGCGGAACGGCCGCGGCGCCGCAGCCGGGCGCGCCTCCTCGCTCCGCGCCCTGCGCGACTGTTTCAAAACACTGGCTGGACGCGGCTGCTCCGTGGCGCGCTTCCGGAGCCTGCTCCCAGGGCCTGGGCGAGCGGAGCGGGCTCCTCCAGGAATCGCGGGCGAGAGGCGGAGGAGGGAGGGGTGGCGGGGCGGCTAGCACCTCCTCCTGCCCCCATCCAAAGGCTCAGTCCAGTGCAGCTCCGCAGCGACTCCCCGATGGCGGAGGAAGCGAGCGCCTCTGGGGAAGGGCAGCGCCGTCCCCACGTTCACCGTGGCCGGCGCGCCAGGCTCATCTTTTAAGGAAAACGGGGGGGGGGGAGAGATTTTTGGGGTGGTCCTGCTGCTTGGAAAGGAAGGGGGCGAGCTGAAAAGGGGGTCAGGAGCGCCCAATCAAAAGCAATCGCGGTTCTTCTTAGGAGCAACTTCTGGTTTTCCTCGGCCCGGCTGCGGCGGGGGCGAGAAGGAGAGGGAATACAAAGAAGGGGGAACGGGGAGCGAGCAGGCAGGCAGGCAGGAAGGGAAGCGGGAGAGAGCAGAAAGGGAGCGAAAGCGAGGCGGGCGGCCTCTTTGGCAGGTGCAGCGTGAATGCCCCCCTCCCCGATCGCAGCCACACGGAATGCGGTGGATTGGTTGGCCGAGCGAGGAGGCGGTGGGTGTGTTAAATATTATGAGGGCGCCATCCAGCCAGACGTCACAGGGAAGAGATTGGCTAAATAAACGCTACACTGATAGTAACAGGAAAACCTCAGCCCCAAAGCTGCGCTGCGCTCCCCCCTCCCGCCCATCCCTGCCCGCTTTTCGTCCCCTCCCTCCGCCCCCACCGCCTCGCACCCTGGGATGCTTCCATGCAGATCCAGCTGGGGCAAAAAGAGGGCGTCTGCTCCCAGAGGGTGGAGGGGAGCAGGGGGAGGGAGGGCGAGAGAGAGGGCGAGGAGGAGGAGGAGGGAGAAAATCTATGATAATAGCATTGCAAAGCATTACAGACTGAGCTCAGGAAGCGAAATTCTGCTCTGTCATTGCGCGGATTACAGAGCGCTTGGAAAGGAGGAGAATTCTCCAATATATATGGACGGTCTCCTTCACCCTTTCTGTAATGAAACCATGACTCTGGCCGCCGCGGCCGCCGCTTTTCTTTTTCGATCTAGTGGGGTCGGGGGAAAACGCATGGAAAGAAAGACGACAGAACTGGCATTCGGTCAGGCAGGCCGTTAATCCGCGAGAGGAGCAAAACTAACCCGGCCCTTGATTAACCCAATAAGGGCCATCACGGAGGGGTGGGCAAGGAGCCAATTTGATCCGGATTTCTTGAATTACGGCATCTTAAAAATACCTCTAAGAATCCAAAGGCTCTGCCACCGAAAGCAGATGCAATTACGGGGCAGCAAAGCGAGCAAAAGAGTCCATGGGCGCAGCGCCCTCCTCCTCCGCTTCCTCTGTTCCTGTTCTCCGAGAGCGCATCTCCGGGCAGCTGCGGGGTGGTGAGCCAACCCTTTCGGGTTTAGAAGCGAGGCTTTATTAAGGCCCGAGTCACGATGCCGAGCAAGATCCGAAGATTGATGGCAGGCCTAGGCCAAGAGCACTTATGATGGCTAGTTTTTCATATTCCCCTAATGAACACAGTGTGCTTCCTTAGAGGCGACGGAGGTGGGACCTTTGGGGGGCAGCCCTGGGTTGCCTGTCCTTTCTTGGACACTCGAGACCTGCAAGAAAAAGTTCAGGATTCACTCAGGATTCCAGCTACACAAATCCATTCCCACCGCCGTGGCCTGCTGGTATATTAATGGCAGTTTGTGATGAGGGGTTTTTTTTTTCGCCCCAGGTTTGGTTCCTGCAACCTTGCCGACACCATTCTGTGATAAGTGATGTGCGTGAAGGTGCAATTTTGGTTCTGAAATGCCGAAGAACATTCTGGGCCCCATGACCTCTGCGTTCTGACGTAGCTGTGAAAGTGTTGGACTGGGTACCTGCTCAGTCATGACACTTACTGGGTGGCTTTGGGCTGGTCATGGATTTTTAGCTTGACCTACCTTGCAGGGTTGTTGTTTTGATTATCTTATGGAGAGGAAGAGAATTCTGTGAGCTGCCTTGGGGTCTTTTAATTTATTTTTTTAATTTAATAAATCATTTTTATTCCCTCTTTTCACAAACGCCTGAAGACGGCTTACAGGATATAAAATCGAATAATAAAAATACAATCCATAATATAATAAATAGCGATAAGTAGATCATGATAAATACACTCATTATTAACAGAATAACATTAGACCAGTAATAAAAGAGAATAAATCACAATCATGGAAAAAGCAAACAAATAAATAAATAACAATGGATAAAATAATGAATAAAATAAAATGTGACTGTTAAATTTAAAAATCTAAAACCTCTAATTCTTAAAATGGCATTTGAATAAAAATGTTTTAACGTGGCACCGAAAAGAATATACAGGAAGAAAGTGTGGCTTTAAATATACTATGAATAAAAATAAGCATGTTTAGTGTATTGTGGCTGTTTTAGTGACTGGGGTTTTCCTCCTCGATTTTTGTCTGGGTACATTTGCACATTTTTGGTGGTTGGGATAAAGGGGCCAGGGAAACAGATGGGGCCATATGGGAAGCCCCAGAGGGCTGATTGCCCAGTTTCTCCATTCACAGATACGGTGGAGAATTTTCAGAAGCTATTTGCATGCAGCCTTATAACACAACAGTATGATTTCTGTTTTTCTGTACTGATTGATTGATTAATTTCAGTTGTACACTGCCCAATCACTGATACTATCTGGGAGGTTAACAGCGATTCATAAAAACAAGAACATAAAACAGTACAGATACATTAAAAGCAGCATAAAATCTACCAGAAATGTATTCCATTTGCACAAGCGTACAATAGTGGTGATGCACAAATGCACATGAATGCAAATGTACATTTGCACTTAGCCCTCCGACGGTTTTAAAAAAAGCCCAGAAAAATCCATCTCATCTCCAGACATGCACAAGTAAATAAGAAAATCAATAAAGAGCCTCCCTTTGCTTTGTGCTGGTGAAACTGACAATGTATTTTTACAATCTTGTCAGTTTCACTAGACAGCAGGGACATGTCTGTGAAGAAAATGGACATTGGATGTCCATTTCATTTATGCTCAGTTTTGGGTCATTTTGGGTGGTATTGTTGACACGTTGCCCAAAAAACTAGAAAGGAGATAAAGACATGTAGACTCACAGGCCCAATCCAGCCTGCTAGTATTTCCTGATCCGAAATGGCCCTATGGGAGGAATTAACTCCTGGACTTTGAAGTGTGGGAAGCCAAGGAGGCTGCAGGACACTGGGGGAATGACTGTACCATGAAAGACTGGATGTGTGCCACATCCTTTGCCACATCAAAGATAAGTCCAAGAAGCCAGAACTCCACCCATGAGAAAATCTCTGGCTTCTCTTTTTCTCCATTGAATTTAGTTGCAAAAGCTATTTCTTTCCTATAAAATTGAATACAAATGATTGGGGGAAAACACAAGAGACATTTGACCAGTTTGATCGCTGTGAATGAGCCTCCAGGGAAGCAGAAAAAGTGTGGGAATGAGCTGAGCCCAGAGGAGTGCCAGGAAAAGTTCGTACCTACAGTGACATTTGTAGGTTTGTTTCAAAGGAAGCCCTTCTTCTGCTCAGCACTCCTGGAAGGCACTGTTGAAAGTCAGCTGACTCCAAAATGACAGGGAATGAGGCTTTGGGCAGGTTTCTGCGAGAGCAAGCATTGCCCAAACCCAGGTGGAGACCTTGCTCAGGCCGTTTCAAGGAACTGACCGGACACTTGATCCCTGGGTGCCTCTAACATCTGAACCAATTTCTGGTGGTCCAGCCCGGCCAAAGCCATCTCACTTTGGATTCAGGAACACTTAAAAAAAAAAAAAAAAAAAAGCCGCTTGTGTCAAGTATGATACACAGTTTACTGAGCACAAATAGAGACCCGTCAGAGACCAGACCAAAGTAAAACATTAAAAAAATACAGAAATATTGGGAAAATGCAGGCAAATATTAACTATGGGTTATAAGGTGTACATAACAGTGCCAATAACCTGGTTCTAATTTGTATGCTATATACACAAATATACAATGTCCTCATTCCAGGTGATAGACATGCCATCACAATATACTATTTTAATACTATCTATTTATGCTCTTTTAATACTGTTTTAGACCTGTCTGTGCATCAGCCACCTTGCATAAAAGGCATTACTCCTCAGACTTTATCTTTTAACCAGCTAAATAAGTCAGTCCACTCTCTTTCAACATCCTTCTTCGAATGCCTATTGCAGCTGCAAAGAATTTAGCAACATTATATTGAGCACGACAAGGAGATACAGATGCAAAATATAAACAAGAAAAAGCTTGCTCTCCTTTCATCTGTGGCTGTGTTGGTCCCCCACAAGGGGCAAAGGATGCTCCAAGGATGCTCCAGAGGATGCTGCCAACATTACTTATGTAAGTAATACACTAATTCTTCTCCCCAAACTGAGAACAAAAATTGACACCTCTTTCTGTGGATTTTATACAGTTCCGCTGTTCCACTGCACAGCACAGGCTCTGACCCTGGGAGAAGAGAAAGCAGGGTGAAGCTGCTTCAGTGATGGCAACAGTTTCAGTTCTCACAGCCCCAAACAGCTTTTCTCTACGGAGTGACTGGGAAAGGCATTTATCTCTCCTGCTCTTCCTAACAAGCTGAAGGTCAAAAGGCCTTGGCACAGCTTCAACACACTGCTCTGGCTTTTAGTTCCTGGGAATGTTCTCTGCATTACTTCTTCTAGCTTAATAACTTTCTCACCATTCCTCGAAGAAAGTCCATCCAATGCACAGTCTTATTACAATATTTGAAACATGGACACCTTGTTGCAACATGGCTAACCTCAGGTAGGATTTTAGTGGCTTGATACTAGAAACAAGATCAATAACCCACTATTGGGATATAAAGAATAATTGGGCCACTAGATTGATGCATAATAGGATATTTCAAACAGCTCTCCAGTGGGGGAAAATAAATGAAACCTCACTGAGACAAAGGAGACCATTCATTTACCATTAGAATAAGATGATGCTCCTTGAAACCTCCAGCAAATGTTATTGGCTAAAGTTTATTCTTGGTATATAATTCTTTTATTCTAAAATATAGACCCAGGTGTTGTATGTTATAGGGTAACTAGGGTTAGTAAGAATGTAACACACTTGCAAAATACTTCAACATTTGTTTGAAAGAACTTGAGCTGAAAAAAAAAATCTGGCTGTGGGAAAAAGCAGAACTGGTGGGCCTTGGAGAGTTTAGCTGGTTAAAATCTGGTTTTGGATCATTGTGAATTCAACCATCTTTGCGGTGGTGGAATAGGGCTGCCAACTCTTTCTGTGGTTTCTTCTGACAGGTTCCTTGTCTTTTGAATTGACAA